GGCTCTGGGCCATCCCCTCTGCCTTGTCCTGGGAATGCTTTGCTGGGCACAGCTCCAAGGGCAGTTTGCACTGGGACCTCAGCATTCCCAAGTGGGGTTTTTCCTCCCCTCTGGAAGCCACTGAGTTGCAACAACTCAGTTTTTAAGCCCCCAAATGCTTTTCCCTGCCCTTGGCAGTGCCCTGAGCTCCTGAACGAGGAGCAGCTGGAAAAGAGGGGCTTGGAAACCCAGTCCCAGGCAGTTTGCACTGGGACTCCAGCATTCCCAAGTGGGGTTTTTTCCTCCCCCCCCCCATTTATCTGTAAATATCCATCTTATTTATCTGTTTTTTCCTGTCAGAAGCATTTTAACACAGGTTTAAAAACGTGGAATAGTTCCCTCAGCAACAGCAGGAGGTGATTCTGTTCTGAAATAACTGAGAGAACATCCAGAGGGGAACGTGGGATGTGAGGAACTGGACACCTTTTGGGAGGAGAAGGAGGGGGAAAGGCCAGTGGGGAGGAGCTGTTTGCTGGCTTTGCTCACAGGGGGGGAGCCTGAGAGCTTTGAGGGGTTTGTGAGCAGCAGTTTTGGGGGATCCCAGAGCCAGGTGCCTCCCTGAGCCCCCATCCATCCCGAGCCAGGCACAGAGATGCCCTGGATTAAAAACCTGGAGGGGGGGGAAAAAAAGGATTAAGAAATAAATACCCAATTTTGGGAAGATTTTTGGCCGAGGTGAGAGGGGAAATAAGCAAGGAAAGGAGCACCCTTTGCCTTGCCCTGGGAGCCTCTGGCACATCCAGGTGGGTCCCTGCTTGGGCTTTCCTGTGCTCAGGGGTCCAGTTTGTCCCTGGAAGAGCAGGAATTGCTCCCCCTGGGCTGGGAATGGTGGGGGTGTGGAGGGGCTCCCAAGGAAACACCCCTTCCAGGGACATGGAAAACCCAAACCTGGCGTGTGGGGGGTGAAAGGTGGGCTCCCCCAAGTCTCAGGGAAGCTCTGGGTGGCCAGTCCTGCTTTTCCCTGGAATCTCACAGTGTGTGTTCTTCTTGCAGTGGACAGATGGACCCCCCCCCGTGCAGTTCCAGGCCCAGAACGGCCCCACCACCAGCCTGGCCAGCCTCCTGTGAACCACAGTAACTATTCAGGACAAACCTCCACCAAACAAAAGCCAAAAAAACAAAACAAACAAACAAAACAACAAAAAAAAAAAAACAACAACAAAAGGAGAAAAAACACAGACACACAGAAAAAAAAAAATCCACTCAAAACCCTTTTCTTCCAGGAAAAGGGAAAGCAGATTCCTCTGGGAGGGAGGCCTTGCTAGGAGAGGGGTGGCAGGAGGACAAGAGGAGCCCCTTGGTGGGAAGGGCAGCAGGAGCTGCTCCTTCCAGGCAGGAATATCCTGGGGTGTGTGTGGAGAGCTGCTGGTTTGAGCTGCTCCCCCTCTGGCTGAGAACTGAGGTTTTTAGTCCCAAGGACTCGAGTTCCTTCACTCTGTTCAGATCCCTCCTGGCTGGGAGCTCCTGGGAAGCAAAGAGGACTCACTTGGATCCACGTTGGATCCACTGCCCCCTTCCCCCTGGAGTGTGATCCTGCTCTTGTGCCCTCCCTGGGGGTGATGGGGTGAAATCATGATGGATTTTGGGGTGCCCTGAAGTTCCCAGTGCAGTTCCTGAGGTGGAATTCTCCTGGGGGTTTTTTTTGTGCTGTTGTTGGGGAAGGAGGAGCTTCTGGGGCAGGTTTTGGTGTCCCAGGGCAGGTCCCACCAGAGTGGGACAAAGAGCCACCACTGTGTGTCCCTGTGAGGGCCTCCCTCCCCTGGCCCTGGCCCAGAACCACAGCTCTCTCCGTGGCTTTGTGGGGTTTGTGGGAGCAGGAACGTTCCTCCCCTCCTGTCTGATCCCTTCCTGGGCCAAACAACTGGGGGAAAAAACAGCCTTTTGCATCTTTGCTGCAGCCTGGCAGTGAAGGCACCTGTGCCTTAAGGATTTACAGAGTCAGAGCTAAACCAGGTGGTTAAACCCAGACCCAACCTAAGCCAGAGGTTTAACTTAAAACCACAGTCTTGCCCTGGGCAAAACTGCCCAGTTTCCAGGCTTTCCCAGGTAAGATTCCCTGTTCCAGCTCAGTTTTCTGGCCTCTCCAGCTGTGGGTTCTCCCTCCCTGTGCCTGTGCAGCCTCAGAGCAGGACACAGGCTGGGCCTGCAGAGAGCTGGGAGGAGTTCATTCCAGGTTTTGCCAGGGCCCAGCAGTGCCTGGGAGGTCCCTGGGGTTGAATAAAGGTGTTTTTCTCCGTTGGTAGCTCTGGATATTCATCTCCCAGCTTCAACAGGGGAGGGCAGAGGACTGTGTAGGGCTCTCAGTGATGCAGCCAGAGAGGGAACTGACCCCCTAAACCTTTTCTTCAGTCACAGATGGGTTGGAAAGGACCTTAAAATCATCTCACTTCAGCCCCCAGGGCTCATTTTGCCTTCCCAGCTCCCATCCCCTCTCTCTCTCAGCAGCTCAGAGGTGGTTTTTTTTGCAATGCAAACCCTTCAGTTTTCCCCTCTGAAGGACATTCCAGGGACAGGGTTTTGTGCAGTCACCAAAGCAGGATTTTGTGGTTCCTCTCCCGTGGAGATCCTGATCCCAGACCTTGGCTCTGGTGTGTTTTAGGCCTTGTTAAATCTCCAGAGGGGAAAACGTGGCCTTGACACCACTCCAGGCAGGGAATCTTGTCCCTGGCATTGCAAGGAAAACCCCCAGGGCTGTTTAAACTCAAAAAATAGGAAAGAAATGTGGGATCCAGAGCCCTGGAGGTCCCAGTCCGGGGGGGATCCAGCTCCTGGGGTGTGCCTGAGGCTCTGAATCCCAAGGCATTCCCATGGGAGCTCCAGGCCAGTGGGCCCCCAGTTTGGGGGGAGCTTTGGGGTCCCACTGCTGCACCCCCCAGGAGCTCAGCACCCCCCCTGTGCTGGGACTGGGGTCAGGAACGACCCCCCCTTGGGAATGTTGATGCCCCAGGGGCTGCTCTGCCTTTCCCTGGTGTGGGAAGCAGGATCTCCCTTTTTTTTTTCCTCCCCTCTGGAAGTCACTGAGTTGCAACAACTCAGTTTTTAAGCCCCCAAATGCTTTTCCCTGCCCTTGGCAGTGCCCTGAGCTCCTGAACCAGGAGCAGCTGGAAAAGAGGGGCTTGGAAACCAGTGCCAGGCAGGGGCTCCAGGTCTGTCTGTCCATCCAGCCCGAGGCTGTCAGGAACTGGGTCCCTTCCAGCTCAGAATATTCTGTGATTCACTTCAATCTCAGCTCTTCAGAAATTGGCTTTTAATTTCAGGAGCAGATTCCCAGAGTGGGTTGGGTTGGGAAGGACCTTAAGGATCATCCAATTCCCACCCCCTGCCACGGGCAGGGACACCTTCCACTAGACCAGGCTGCTCCAGGCTGGGCCTAAACCCTTCCAGGGATGGGGCAGCCTGAAATGTTGGCCAAGTGCTGCTCCTGTAGGGCAGGAGTGACAGAACCCCGAGCCCAGAGAGCTGTGGTTGGGGCTGAGCCTTGGGGCAGAAAAGCCTCTTGCAGGGAGATGTCCAGCAGTGCCTGTTGGGGAAGGCTCCTTCCCCAACCTCCTCGTGCTGCTCAGGGACCCCCAGAGCTGGAGATGGGGGGCAGGGACACAAATCCCAGGGACAATTCCCAGTGTGGCTTCTCCTGGTCCTTGT